ACCGACGATATATATATATATATATATATATATATATATATATATATATATATATATATAACGAAAAATTAAATATAATTTAAGGGCAATTTTTCCATTACATAAAAGCTAACAAAATAAAATTTAATTAAATGTATAAGATGGTTAAGCGAGATTGCGCCTCGCGTGAACTGTTCCATTATCTTAATGAGGGGCTACTTTTTTTATGAGCTCGTTACCCTGGAACGGTTCTTAGTGTGAACCGCCTCCGCATTCAGACCAAATGTAAGCTATATTAAATGGGCGGACAGTTTAAAGAAATTTGCATGTTTAATAAAAAAAATAATTAAAAATACAATAAACGTTAATCTGAGTTAAATATATATTTTTCTAAAGCAGTGGTCAATTTATCTTAACTTAGTTAATCAGTTTTAATAAATTAATATAATGTATTGAGATTATCAAATAAATCGAAGATTTCGAATTCTATAGCTGTAATGTGTATGTGTATATAAAATTCTTATCGAATTAAAAATGGGGGGAGAGGTGTCCGAGCATTACTCGGTTTGCCTACCGACCTGATAACATGAAGATTACGATTTCGAGTCTCGGTGCCGTTGTTTAATAAAGTTTGAACACAATACGCTAAACATGAGTTACAATTTTAAATTCAATTTAATTTTATTTTCTCTCGTTGAATTTGGTATTGAGAATTAATTTGGACTTAGGTTTCAGATAATAAATTAAACAATGTTAATTCCGCGATGCTTCGGCAACACAAAACCTAAAATTGTTTCCATAATAAACGGCTCAATGGCCAAGATAACTCTCTAGGATAACATTCAACTAGCAGAAATTTCCCTTAACATTTTGAAGGATCAAATATCTACTTCATGGTGGATTGGATAAGCTACTTCACTACCCTACTCAGGTACACTCCAAAATAAACAGGACCAGTAACCAGAGTAATGCATTTGGATTTATTAAGCTTCGTAAAAGTACATATTTCAATCTTGAGTAGTTTCAAGGTTTTATATCTCTCTCTATTACAGATTTGAGTTTGCCCTTACCTCTTATCTACATCTTTCTGGGTTTCATCCTTTAACAGACCTGCGAGTTCCGAAGGGTAACTAAGGAGAGTTTTTTTTTTTTTGCTCTTTTGCTCCTTTGTCCGTCATCCCATTCCGATATATTCAGATACTCATATGTAATTACTGATTTCTCGTCATAACTCATAGATTTTTTTATTTCCAGAATTCGTTGGATTCCTGGATTATAGGACGCCTTTAAATCAATTAAGAAATTACTACACTTTGACAGGTAATTCAGAGATACTGACCTTGTATATTTTCATTTTATGGGTGGAATCAAGGATCACAAAAGTAGACGAAGTTGCTGAATCAGCTCTGTATACGTCAGTGAAAATGAATTTCCGGTCTTGAAACCCGATGCTGTTATTCTTTATATATTTGAGGTTTAACATTTATAACGTCCAGTGAGGTTGTAGCGTTTACTATCAGTTTATGCTAATTCATTTTAAATTTCGATTTAAGTGTTGAACTTTCGAATATTAAGATTGGTCTTTCTGATAAGGATAGGATAGTATTTGTCTCGTGTTAAAACGTTGAGGAACATTTTGGCCTACCTTGATTCAGGACTACAGAATACCATTATAATCCTTATCCTCGTTTAGTGCTCTTTATCGAATTGTGTAAGGATTTTTTTTTCTCGTGTGGATTGATAGATAAAAGTTCCCTAGTCCATCTTGTAGCAGATCAGAACTAGATATACCCAAAGCATGGTAGCACCCTGTAATTTTCTGTCACCCAAGCAGTTCCACTGATTCGCGATAGCTTCAACTTAAAATTATTATTTTAAGCGAGGTTTCCCAGATCAGTAGTCTTTTGAATGTTAATACCAAGAATCTAAAGCATAGACGTTTTAAACAGAATTTGATAAATTAAGGTTTACTGCCAATTACCTGTTTATTTACCATATTCTCTCTATTCAAATAAGTCTATATTACCTCTAGTTAATAAAGTGAGATAGAAAAAAAATGAATAAATAAAGATGGAATGTACTTTAACGGACATACAGTAACATTTATATTAATTATGAAAACATTGGATTTTTTATTTTAATTTCCTCTCTTAAGAAGATACAGCTCACCGTCCAAATTTAATAATTCATAGATGTCATTTTCGTTTCTCTTCAGAGATATCGATCTTACCGAGGAATACAAATGAATATTTAATTATTTAGACGCGGCTTGAACCCAGACTAGGTAAATAATTAAGGAGGCACTGTAAGAGAGAGCTCCCAACCGCGGCCACTGAAAGGCGACACCGGCTATCCGCTTTCCTTTGTCCGTTAACCTTTAATACAATATTAGTTGCCAGGGGCAGTACAGGCGGATCTAAGGGGGGAAGAGGAGGCTTTCGGGCTGAAGCCTCTCCCCCCCAAATGGTAAAATATAAGCATGTTCTAGGAAAAAAATTATCACTTAAAATATTATTGTTCGTGTAACTACACTTAATAGGATTTCAAGAATCACTTAAACACCATTTTATATAGGTAGTTAGTTTTTTCTAAAGTAATTATCGTTATATATATATATATATATATATATATATATATATATATATATATATATATATATATGAAAAAAAAAAAAGGTTTTGGGCTAAAGCCCACTCCAAAATTAAATTCTGGATCCGCTAGTAGATTGCAGGATCTGGAGGTAACGATGGGTTTATCGATCCTTAATACATACTTATAAGAACACTGCTATAATAATTTATAACCCGATTTTTAAATTTAATATGTATACGTAATATAAGTAAATTAGGCTCAATATAGGAGTTTTTTATTTGTTTACCATACGGCATAGCTTCATGCTTACGTCACAATCCATTTAATCAGGAGTTTAGAGGCTACCTGTAGATAAGATGGATTTTGTTTTGAGGAGATTAAATTTTGTTAATATTGACAAAAATAAAACAGATTTATATCGCTTTAGATAATGCTTCTAACACCCCATAAAGATAACTAAGTTCATAATCTGGCTTTATTCACTACGTATCTGACATTCGATACATTTTTAACATAACATTTTTTTTTTTTTTAATGACACCTCAAATGAAAAGTCTTAATAATGTCAAAATTCTAAACGAATAGGGACATGACAATCAGGAGGAAATTTTTAATATGAAGGTCCATACGCTGAAATAAATCGACAGGCGAGGCGAGGTGTACCGAAACGTATGAGGAAATGGAAGCGGTCTTATAACTCAAATATCAAAACCCACCAATCAAATACAGCGCTCAAACCGCCAATCAGAATGTTCTCCGAAACTGTACCTTAACTTTTAAGACCGAAATTAATTCTTGCGGCTCCGTGGGCCATCAGAGAGAACTGTTCCCGAGCAATTGCATTTGAAATGTAAACTGGGCACATGGGCCGAGGAGGCAATTTAAACTCGGACGGGAATTTTAGGGGGGGGGATGAAGTGGGAGAATGGAGGGGGAGCGGGGGATTTCATTACGGACAGTCAGGGTTGTTGGGACCTTTCACTGGAGAGCTACGGGTCCACAGAAGAGGCACTAATATCGGAAAGTGCTCTTCCAGAAAGGATCTCACTCGGCTTTTCTACTCTCATTTACAAAATGATTTCTCTTCGGCACTACTCTCAAATTGGAACTACTGTACACAGACGAGGAGAAAAGTTTTATTTTCACAATTAAAAAGGAAACAAGAAGGTTAGGTACAATCCTCTTTGTTCCAAATCCAAAATTATTAACACACACACAAGTACGGCTTCTTTAATTCCTATACTTCTGTTTTCTAATACAAATTAATTGCAACATTCACTTATTATTTTTTATTTTGAATGTATCTTATTTTTTTGTGATAAAAAATTGAAATAGAGACGTACTGATTTGCCCACAACGACTCTCATTCGCAATAATGCATAACAGTGATTGATTCATTCGCCGCTCTTTTTCTTAAACTCAGAATATTAGACCCTGATTTAATAAAAAAAGTGATAACTAGGAGTCAAGATTTTCTAGAACTGACAGACTATCATTAGTTATCATAATACTTTGCTTTCTGAAGATTGATCGCTAAATCAATAAAAATATCTAAGGATATTTGAGCAGAATCATAATTTCTAATTCGTGAATTTAGTCAAAGATAAATAGAGTTTCAATTGGAAGATGGATGAAGTTGAAAATCCCAAAAATACTTCTTTAACCCTAACTGAATTCACATATTTTTTCTACCCTATAACTTCATTAAGTCGTAGAGATGTGCGAAACCTTAACAAACGTGAAGAAAATGGCGTGGATGAAGAATTAAAGTTGGTGGTCCAAGAAGGTCAATCCAAAAATAGATTTCTTGTACTTAACTCAGAAGGACTTAAACTCAATCTTAATTCTCATGCAAATTCTCGATCATTTAAATCATCAGAGATTCTTAAAACTAAAAAAAAATAAACGTAAAAACAACTAATATAAATGGCGTGGGTGTACCAAAAAAGTTTGGATCACGAGAAAAATCTTCGAAACCAACAAATCGATTCTTATTTTAATGTTCAATCCTCTAACGCAATAAGAAGGAACTGTAGCAGGACGAGAATGCTAAAATAGAAAAAATGACGGGGATGGGTGAAAAATTTGAGATCTCCTAACTCAGTTCACATAAAAATTTGTTGCTGACCTCATCAAACTATATTTTAAAAAAATTCACACAGTTCTAGAGTATTAACATATATTTCCAGGATTTTTCAGAAAATTTCGGTATACTCCTAATTTTTTTTTCAGTACAAGAATCTTGTATATTACCCGGTTTTTCCGAAATTCCCGATCGCTGGACAATTTTATATTAGTGTACAGAAAAAGATTATTTTTATAATGTTATTGATTTATTACGAGCGAAAATGGGATGTTAAACCTCAAAGAGCTAACTGTCCAATATTAACGGGGTATCGATTTTCTACGCCAGCCGAGCGGAACTGGCAATGGCCACGTGGGAATCGATTGCAGGAGTGGCGGTGAACGGCGAACAGCACGTCCTCGAACCATCCAAGCCAAAGAGTTAGTAGCCAATCGTTAGCGAGCCATGTCAAAGGCATCTTTCTTAATCTAAACTGCATGCAATCTTGGAATCTGGAACCAATCTCCTTCAATATTTCATTAGGAACCAACTATTAATTATTTAATGGCCCATTGTTAAAGAATAAGAAGGTAAACTTAATCATTAGCGTGACTTTTATTACGCAAATAGCTGTAACAAATTTCTCAAGATGTACAAAACTTGTTCTGCGGCCTACCTCGATTAATAGAGACATGAATTATTATTATGCTAATATAGAAGAGTTCGATTTTTTCTAAATTTTGTGATATGTATTAATATTACATCAAAAATGCTAAAGTATTCATTGTACAATTACTTCCTTCATAAGATGAATGCAATTAAACTGATTGGGGAACCTTGACATTTACTTACCCGAGTCGAATAAAATGTAATACTATGAATTTTAATTATATTTCACAGCAGTATTTTTAAGTGGAAACAATAGAGAAACAGGGATTTAACAGAAGTAATTAAAACAGAGTAGATCGTTAAAAAAGAGGGTGGCGTCGTCACTATCGGTTAAAGGAGTTCGATGACATCGATTTTGACCAATAGAAAGCGAGATTTGTGGAAGGTGGTAAAGCGGTAGGGGAAGGAGGGTTTGGTGTTCTTTTAAAACAAATATTTGCTGTATAGTGTTTGTGATGCGGCCATCTGCCCACTTCCGGCACTGGTTAAAGCTTCCTCTGGTCGTTTGTCCTGTCGGATTTCTGGTCCAGGGCCATCAGGATCCCATTGGCGGCAAAACACACAGAGGGCAATTTACAGCAAACAGCGAGAGTGGATTATGGCAGGACATGACTTGCCGACAAGCTTTCAATTTATCTTTTTGACATTTTTCATTCAAACATAAAGAGAACTAACTACAACTGTCCGAAAACATATTATACGACTAAGAAAAAGTAGTATTTAAATCGAATTGTTAATTAAGACATTTGCCAACATTAGTAAAGTTTATTTTAAAAGCTCGAAGACCTAAATGATAAAATCATGATCCAACGCTGATGCTTTATTATTATTATGGTAAATAACAAATGTATTTTTGTTTATTAATTTCTCAAAGTTGTACGTATTTTTTTCTTAACTGAACTTCATCCTAAACGTTACTCCGAGGGGACCACTCGCTCCCATTCTTAATTTTAATAGCCACACACATTATATATATATACATATATATATATATATATATATATATATATATATATATATATATATATATATTTATATATACACATTACAATAACATTCTATAATTGCTTCTTATAGAGCATTCTATTTGGCATTCTTTCCACATGAACTATCCTTCTTATTCATGAAATATCCTTATTATTAGCAAAGCCACAATATCGATTTCTCCAAATAGTTTATGCAGCTCCTCATTCCTTCTTCCTCAAATACAATTCTCAGCGGCTTCTCCATACTCTTCTCAACACGTTTCTCTCTCATGAGAGTTGAGCATGCGTCCAACCAAGCAGGCGTTTTTGGTTTAGGTCCATGTCTCACACCCATCCACAACCAGTGGCCTTACTATGATTTTGTAGATAAGAATTTTGATTCTATTAGAGAGCGATTTAAATTTATACGAATGGATTAGATAAATTAATATTTTTATTAATGTTTCAGTTACTGGTGATAAACGACGTTCTGGAACCAGCAGTCGAACTACACGCGGCTTACGAAGCTATGAAGGAGGAAGAAAAAAGAAGGGAAGATGAGAAAATTCAAGCATAAGCAGTGAAGCAAGCGTTACCCATCGCACAAAAAATAAAAACAATTAAAAAAAACATTTTTGTTATTGATTTCCACATGTTTAATAACATATTGATATATACTTGATCCTGTGTAAGTAAAAGGAGATGAGATGCTCCAATATCAGCATTCTGACTTTATGAGATTGTATATAACCATCAGAAGGAGAGTAATCCAACTCATTGTGCCGCCGTTCTATAACCCCGAGGTTTTCCACTTTCCTCTCTTATTAACTGCTCAGTTTTCCGGTGACCAACGCAATTCAGGATTCTTTTCTGGAACGATAAGGCCGTGGCGTGACGATGTCGCAATCCTTGCAGTTCTCACAATGGCTGTAACCATGTCATATATTCCTTTCCGGTTCTCAGCAACATGTTCTTCCTGTTTAATTTGTTCATGTCTTGAATAGATTCTACTTATTTTAAATATTATCTAGCAGAAAATTCACAACTTACTCTTTTTTCATTGTACTATACATTTTTAAATAGATTAAATTAATAAGAAATTATATTATTTTTATATTTAGCTCCTATCTTACATTTTAGGTTGGTGGTCTCTTCTCATTACTAAATTCTCATATACTCGGAGCAGTATACTTTTAAGGTAACAGCGGATTACAACCAGCATCTTTTCTTCTCAGCTCTTGTGATAAGAACTTTCCAAAATTTAGTTTCTTTTTAGTCGTAATTCCTAAAAGTAATAACAATTTTCACTGTATCGAAGGACACCTGCGGGAGAAGAGAGGAGGTGGGAGTGCGAATTAAATCCATTTCAGAATACATTGCACATGACATCGAGAATATCTGATACGTATTCCTTCCATACCTGGCCCGCTACATTTCGGTACTTTCAGGTCAAATGCGCTGAAATTTCATAATAGTATAAATAAGTAGTTTTCCCATTTTCTAACTTTACGAACCCTCCAGAATGACTTGAGTTTAAGTTGATAATTCTGGGTTCTCAACTTTTGTTTGTCCCCTCTCATCATCCATCCGCTACTTACATAAATAAGATCAAATTATCAATAAATATACTTCAACTTCCATTATTAGCAAGTCTTTAGTTAATAGGTCGGGAAATGTTTGAATGTAAATACGATTCAACGATGCTGCCATATTGTTTAAAAAAGAATTGCATTGTTTAATGTTCTAGAAGACACAGACCATTATGCAACACACTTGAGATAGACAACATGGGATATTATTTCAGCACTAGCCCCGCCCTGAAAAGTACACTTGTAGGTCCTCCGTAATCTGATTATACGACTTGGGTATTACGAACGCCCGAGCCCGCGCCGATGGTAACGATATCGCCCCTTCCTCGTCCAACAGTATCGCTTAAGAAGATTACGCCGTTACATAACTTGCTATCGTCTTTCTTACCTCAACGACCAATAAAAATCTCTCTTACGTAACCCATATCGGGAGGCGCTCCAGTTGCGGCAAATTGTGATTACTTAGAAAGAGCATTTTACTCGATAATATCAAGTTGTTATATCTTTGTTTTTATTCGTAATGGAATAAGTATAATTTCATGGAGAATGGCCTGATTATCTCTCAACAGTGATAATTTTGTATTAAGAAACCTTTACATTACCTCATGAAATAAGTTACTTTTAAGGCAGATGGGAAATCATGAACGGATTTCAAAATTATAGATTTCAAAGACATATTACATACAATCTGTTTATTCCAACTTGACTGACGCAAAATTTTTAATGCGAAACGGTAAAACTGACACGCAGGCATTTAGAGGTAAGTTCGGAACTTCCATATGGTATATTCCCCGATGTATTTTTGCCAATATAAAAGAAAAACAATATCTCACATTTTACCGGATATATTTTTATCAGATGTTTATATCATGTTGCTGACCAATCATGTTTATATCAAAACATTTCAAATTTTGTACTCAAATAAATAAAAAGACTTGTTGGCCGAGGGTGAAGAAACAGAACCTGTTTCTGAGTAGTGTGGGTTCGATTCACATCTGGGCGAGTCAATACTCATTTCGTGACGGTCTCGAATTTTGACACTTCGGTTAGGTTAGAATAGTGATCACTAGGTAGCGTCAACTTTTTTGGGGGATTTTTGTTACAGTTTCTCTATGAAATCCCAAACTTATACTTGCAAATAGATTCTTTGGGAAACCCTTCAACACTCTTTGAGAAGCAGGTTAAGGCTCTAAAGTAAGAAAGATCAGATTAAACCAACTAATCCAAAGACCTTCACGGCAGCGAGGTCTGATCGATAGTTGGAACAATTTTTACTTATATTGGTGGACTTTCAATAATTAAAAACAATGCTCGAATGATTTTTATTTACTGGTCTGAGATAAAATTTTACATTTGTTGTTTATTAGGATTTAGTGCCCTGATAATCTTCAACCAGGGTAGAAAGAGTTCTCTTACAAGTTACTAACCCATTCAAAGTAAATTAGATCGAGATTTACTACTTTTAAGGTCTCCAAGAAATAAAAGTCTCAATAAATTCAATAAATAAACTCAATTCGAACCAACACCATTTCCGACCCCATAGCGCTGTAGTTCTATCCTGACAGGCTAACCAATGCGGTCTATGCTTAAGTAACATTAATTTAAAAAAAATAAAAACCTGAACACATTATATTTGTATAGAATTTTAATTAAATATATTCATAAAGGATGAGTTGTAAAGAAAATACAGCTGGTACGCTTTCACGGATGAAGCAATATAAATAGGCAGTTTCCTAAGGGAGGATTATATTCTGAGCCCTTTCATAATTTTCTAAAACATTTTAACGTAGAGAAAGAAGGGGGAGGGAGCACAACAGGAGTGACCATTGGATAACTCACCCCTTCTCCCCCCTCCCCCACCAAAGTCCCTTTGGGCTTTAATTCCACATGTATCATTTCTCTCATTATAATTCTTCTGTGGATTACGGTCTGCTAGGCATGAATGCAGTAAAACACAAAGCTATTGTTGGCATTAAAAAAAAAGATGAAAAATCATAAGAATACAATTAAAGTACCAATACCTACCAGTTTGTATCGTGTCTTCCCTAAAAATAAACACTACATAAATAGATAAATAAAAATGCATTATTTTGTTTTTGAAAAGTCATCTTAGTATCGATAACAATATTAAATTAGACAAAAATCGAAGGATAACATCTAACCAAGAAAATGAAACGAATTTGCAACTAAACGAATCCCTCAAACAATGGCAGTGTGGTAGAAAATATCTTTGCTATAAAGTCGAATTTATTGCACCTTAAAATAAATTTACGACTGATAAATAGTCAGGACGCAATCATTTTAAGATTTTTATTCTTGCCGACATTTCAACCAAAGCTAGTGGGTCACAATATGGGAATGTTATCTCAGCACTGAAGGTTCTCAAGCAGTCGTAGTACTAAGTACTTGAACACCTTTATCATCCATTATAATTAAATGTATGTATATATATATATATATATATATATATATATATATATATTTATATTTAAATGTAGGTTTGTAGCCATAATTCTTTCTTACATATTAAGATAATAATTTATTCAGCCATATGTACAGGATTCTCCTGGGAGACATGCAGCCACTAGGTAGTTTCAAAGAAGCTAAGTTTAGAAACCATAAGTATGAATACATGAGCCTTTCAGTTGAGAGAATGACTAACTCCAATTTCAATATTTTTTATTATTAATTTTGGTGATGTTTCTAGTGGGGAAATTTATATCTTCATTCACAGTCTAAATTTCAACACTGCAATCACCTACTATGGAATCAACTTACTCACTATATCTGTAGATATAATTAATATTTTAACTAGAAATGTCATTAAAATGATTTTAATCAAAAATGTTGAAATTGGAGTTCTGGTCATTCTGTCAACTTAAAGGCTCATACAGAGAACATCTCTTAATTAATTTTGTGGCGAAATCTTCCGAATGAATATAACAAACATCTATTCCAAGTAAGTCACAATAGCTTCCTCATCATATCTATTCAGTAAATTACAAAAACCCCATTTACTACTTTAATTGTTTCGGAAAATTAATTTCTCTCTTTGACATTCATTTTCTGCGTCACTGCCGTCCAACATAAACAAGAATTTATACCCATACACTTTAACCAGCACACTTTATTTCTCATTTGCCTGCCCGTAATTAAAATAAAAATTAATAAATAAAAAATAATAATAATAATAAATATATATATATATATATATATATATATATATATATATATATATATATATATATATATATATATATATATGTACACTTCAGGAAGATCTTAATATAAATCAAATACTGGATAGAATATTTCAATAAAAAAAGTCTAATGAATAATGTTTAATAAATAAGTTTAAGAACTCAAATAATCTTTCATATGATCCCTACCTACTTTCATATGTACACACAAGAAAGATAATTTTAACAATAAGATTAATTTTAATTGTTGAATAGAATTTGATAAAATTGAAAAAAAAAAATGTGTACAATAATCCCGAACTTTCCTCCCAAATCAGAGCATAATGAAAAGAGTCGTTTTTTAAATATAGATGAGTCTAAGGGAATAAAGCATCCGTTAGCGAAAGTAGTGGATGCAATAGAAATTGGAGCACTGAAGTACCAAACCTAGGGTACGGATAGGCACGGAACCAAATTTGGTCCTTGATATCCAAAGCAGTAATACCCGAGAGGAAAATTTCTATTCTAAGTACAATTTTTTGAACTCTTTTTTGTCAGTACTTGAAAGCCTTCAGTGCTCAAACCACGGTTAGTAAGGGAAAATATTACAAACTTTTTATAAATGGATTATATACATTATTTTTAGTTTGTAAAACTTTTTACATATTTCATTTTTAATTATTGTATATTGCAATAATAGTTAAGATTTACCATTATTGATCGTATAATATTATATCTCTGATTGTATTTTAAAATTTTCAGCCCAGATGATGACACACATGTCTGGGTTGAAACGTCGGCGCAAATAAAAAAAAAATATAATGACTACCTCCTGAATATTTATCAACTTTCGATAGTGAGGAA